CTTACCTATATATATTTTGATACAGTAACACATCAAATTAGGAATAAAAACACTAATTGATACACTAAAGTACAACAAATACAAGAAATTAAAGACAAATAACTAATTATCCTCTTTTTTCCTTACCGATTACTAGTATGCTCAAATCTTGCCCATAAATATTCTGCCAAATTCATATTTCTTCCATAACTATGATTATTTTCATCCATTACAAAGAAAAATTATAAAAAGAGAGGAAAGAAGGAAGGAGTGAAAAAGATGCAAAATTGAAGTGTATAAAAGATGGCCAAAATTAGGTTCATTTTATAGAGAAAATAAAAATACAACCGTTGGTAAAATTAGTTTTTAAAAATATGTTACCGTTTGTGATTAATTACCGTTATAATTTTTTTGAGTTTATAAAATTATGTAACAAATAAACAAATAAAGTTGACACTTCATCCTCTTGGCACAAAGGACAAGGTAATCCTCTTCTCCTTGAGGATCCTCTACATTACCCAACATCAAAGAGGACTACTCCAAATCAGCAAAAAAACCCACACAAGAGGACATATATCCTCTCCAATAATCTTGCTCTAAAGAGACAGTTATACTATGGATTTGCTGAAAATTGTGCCGGAATAATATTGACTCATTGACTTACATTTATTATTTGTAGGATAGTGAATTATAATGATATAACTCCGTTTCTTTGAGCTGTTTTTGTTTGGAATGTTGTAATGAAGAGGGAAACTAAATACGTGTGAGATATTCTTAAATTAGTTTCGACGTTGTGATTCAAAATTTATAGATGTTTAGATATTTGTAGCCTAGTGGCGGAATTGGCCTTGTGCCTGGTGGGTCAAATGAGTCACCAAGGCCCAAAAAAAATTTTAATTTTTTTCTTAAAAAAAAAAAATATTCGAAGATTTACACTCCGAGCTAGACGAATTATTGATACACTCCATTGCTTAAGGTAATTTCTGTTTTCTAGCAAATGTCTGTAATTTGATTGAATATTTACTATGGCTTATCACTTGATTGTGAAATTCTAGTATTTGATGATGATAATAACGATGATGTTAGGAACAAAGTTCAGTCTTTTCTTGAAAAGTTTGCCTCTCACTTCAATTCATCATCCTCTTGTTTCTTTTTCTCCTTTACCCATCTTTTCTTTCTCAACCCAACATCAATTTTGTTCATCAGGTCTTCTATTTGTCTTCAATTTAACTTTTTGATTGTTAATTTTGATCTGGGTACTTGTAATTTGTTCCTAATTGAATTGCGTATGTGTAAAATTTCATGATTTAATTTTTTAATGTTATTTTTAATGTTTATTTGGTTGTAGAACGAAGAAAGCTAAGATTGCAGGTGAGAAATTGTGTTCCTGCCCTGCTCCTGCTCTTCCTCTTCGCTTCATCTTCACCAAATCACCAGACGGCCAGATCAGCAGACCTCCGCCACTGCTTCCAGTGCTGGTCACCTCCTCCTGCTCTTCCTCTTCTTCATCTTCGCTCACTGCTGCTGCTGCACACAGGCGGCTCGCCGGCTCCACTGCCTCCACACATTGATGGTGTTGTTGCTCTTGATTGGTATTTGGGTTGTCGGTGATCATCGAAAGCTTCCTCCTCTCTCTCCTATTCTCATTTTGCTAGTAAGTTGATTTCTAATTTTTAGTTAAAAATTCTAATCTTCAATTTAATTCAGTCTAATTAGTTAATTCTATTAAATTATTTGATATAAGTTTAAGGAAATTGGAGGTTGTCGAGACACAGTGATTGGATTCTTCTCTCTATTTCGTTGATTTTGTTAGTTTTTTGGTAAAAGTTTGAAACTTTAGTTGATTTTGTTGTTGTTTGTTTGTAAACTTTGAACCTTTTGTTAATGTTGTTGGGTTTTTGTCTTTTTGATGAAATTTGAACCTTTTTGACCATGTGATTATGTGAATTGTGGTCAGTGTTTATTTAGGGTGTTTATTAGCTTGTCAATTTAGTCTTGTCAATTTTAAGCTTGTTAATTATTAGTTAGTATTGTAATCTTGTCAATTTTCTATTTGGATGATCTTGGTAAGAAATTTTTTTTTTACATATTTGGTTATCGATTGTGACTCACCAGTCGGAAGTTCCTGGGTCCGGAAGTTCCTGGGTCCGCCAAGGGTTGTCAATAGGGCGGGGTGGGGCGGATTTTAGTCTTCCCATCCTCATCTCAATCTAAAATTTTCATATCCATCCCCATCCCCATCCCCATCCCCGCGACGGGTCTAAAATTCATCCCCATCCCCGCCCCCACTTGAATAATCACCCCCACCTAATCCCCACCTAAGACCTGCCTAATCCCCGCCTCCCAAATACACAATCCTTCATAATTAATAAAGATTGCAAAAAGAAAAAAATTATTATTAATATTACACATTCTATGTTTATAATATAAGTGTATTACAAAGTATTATATTTACGATTTTATTTTACATAATTTTTTTTTATAAAATAGTATAAAAGTATATAATTTTGTTTTTAAAAATATATGGATGTGGGATGGGGCGGGTACGAAGTGGGGTGGGTGGAGATGGAGCGGGTACGAAGTGGGGTGGGTGGGGATGGAGCGGGTACGAAGTGGGACGGGTGGGCGGATAAACCTAAAATCCACCCCGCCTCATCACCCATGGCGGGTATGGTTTTTATCTCCATCCCCGCCCCATCACCCGCCAAACCAAGATTCATCCCCGCCCCAACGCAGCTCTCTTATTTGACCCGCCCCAACGCGGGTCTCTTATTTGACCCGCCCCACTGACATCCCTAGATATGTGCTTTATAAGTGGGTAAAAGACACTTGTAATTTGAAAAAACAAAAAAAAAAAAAAAAAAAAAAAAAAGGTAGAGAAACAGAGTGTAATTGGATAGAGTTGACATATTTTGACTCATATAGTATAAGCTACTCCGTATAAAATTAAATGCTTGTTGTTACTTTATTTTTCTTAAATAAATAAATAAATATCTGGACTAATAGATTTAGAATACTTTTTTTTATTTTTAACTAGTAGATATACAAACCAACAGAGTTGTTTTTTTTTTTTTTTTAAGGAACATACCAACATAGTATGACTATGGGCCGTTACTGTTAACTTAGTGAAGTATAACTTGAGGTTCAGGTTCAATGCATAATAATTCATTGAGGCTCAGGTTCAAGGCATAATTACTTAAGTGGGGTCCAGAAAAGCTGTGATGCATTTATAAATCTATGTGGTCATTAGTTCTTCTTATTAACCACAACTAATTATTTGCGGTTGAGGTTCACGTTGAAGTTGATAGTTGTGATAATTTCTTGATGGAATCTTAAAGCTGCAACTACTGAGTAGTATTTATCTTCTCTCTTTGTTCCTTTATTTCCCAGTTTATATTTCTGTAGTTTGAAATTAAAATTAAAAGAGGTGGTTTTTGGTGTTCTTGTTGAAGCTAAGGAAATGATAACTTGCGGAGAAGTAGATTCTAAAGGTCACTTGGAATTGAGGGAGGATCCAGAGGCATGGATTAAAAATAACCCTCCTTCTCGTCTAGCCTTGCGTTGTTATGAAAAGGAAGAGGTAGGAGAATCAATAGGTGAGCTCACACAGCTCATCCGCCTGGAATTCTTGTACTGTGATTCCCTGAAATGTGTGTCTAACACCATCACTAGGCTTCACAAATTGGAGCACTTGCAATTTTATAAGTGTTATTGTTTGGAAGAATTGCCGGCAAATATAGGGCAGTTGGTGAGCCTTACTCATCTCAAGCTTGATTATTGCGAGAACATAAAGTTCCTTCCTGATAGCATTGTAAATCTATCCAATTTGACTTATTTAACTCTCTCTTCCTGTGATTCCCTTGTTGAATTGCCGGCAAATATAGGGCAGTTGGTGAGCCTTACCATCTCAAACTTAAATATTGCAAGAACATAAAGTCACTTCCTTTGAGCATTGCAAATCTATCCAATTTGACATCTTTATCTCTCTTTTCCTGTGAGTCCCTGGTTGAATTGCCGGCAAATTTGGATGGGTTGGCCCATTTATGTCTTCTTGATATTCAATCATCCAAAATCAAGTGTCTTCCTTGGAGCATCACGAAGCTACGCAAACTCCGACATCTAATGTTGCCCGAACATTTCAGACTCGAAACGTTGCCATATGACTTGAATCATTCGGTCATCATTTCTGTTAAAGATAGGCATGTTCGCAAATCCTGGGAGGAACTTAAAACAGAGATAGGAGAATTGCCCATTCCTTTTGGTGGAGGTAAGTTTACATTGCCAATGCTTTTACTTTTACAGTTTTACTCCAAATTTGTTTGTTCTAGTTGACGTGGTAGTTATACTATGTAATAATCAAGCTTATCTCTTCTCTCCCCCTCCTACAATGGCAGAAATAAGAAATGATGCAGCTCAAAATCCCTCTATCATATCTCCTCCTGGTTATCTCCGATTGAAGGAGGATGATCCTTCGCAATGGATTATTAATAACAGAAATTTACTCATGTTGGTTCGATTTTTGGACTTGGAAAATGTTAAGGAGTTAACAGATTCCATAATGCAATTCAGTGAGCTCACCCACCTCTATCTCTACTTCACTGATCATATTTGCCTCCCGGATAACTACTTTGTCACATTCACAAGGCTTACACATCTCTCTCTCGACTCTTCTGATGTTGAAATTGATGAGTCCGTTATTCACAGCTTAAGCAAGCTATCCAATTTACAAACACTACATCTGCGATTATCCATTTATGATAGCTTGGAAAATTTTAATATGCCTGTCAGCCTCAAACATCTCTCTTTATCATCTTGCAATATGAGGCCACTTTATGATAGCTTGGAAAAGTTAACTAACTTAAGGAGTCTGGATCTCAATTCCTGTGATTATTGCGAGTCATTGCCACCATGTATGTATATTCACAAACTCAGGCTTGTGGATTGCTCCTTCGAGTCACTTGACTCACTTCCTATTGGCCTACATCACCTGGAAATTTTGTTTTTCAAAGATTATAATGACCTGAGATGTATCTTTGAAAAATGTTGGAATAAATTAGTCAACCTGGAGACACTCTCCATTACATGTTCTAAAATGGAGTTCTTTCCTGAAGATATAGCAAGACTCCACAACTTGCAAGAATTACAACTCAAAGACTGTATCAGCCTCGAAAAACTACCATCAAATCTACATGAGTTAGTCAATTTGCATACTCTTGATATCAGCGTCACCAGAATCAAGACCCTTCCTCCTAGTTTTGTGAAGCTGCGCAATCTACTACACTTAATCCTCCCCAAGTGTTTTAACTTTGAAAGATTGCCAAGGAATCTGAAGCAAGTGTCCATCATCGATGACACAGAAGAAGCATACTACAAGAGCAACGCCTATGATGCTTCCCTTTACCAAGCCTCAGCCTCCGATGAAAGCGAAGATGAAGTAACTGTTGTTCCTAGAGGTAATTAAATGTTGCCAGTAATTCATATGTCATAACTTGCATTTTTTTTATCATCATTGATGACACGGATGATGCATACTTCACACATATGAATAACTCTCGTATCAAAATGCCAACAGTAGAAATTCATGAAACTGTCCCTGATGAGCAGACATCAGCAGATCCTTTCAACAGTATAAGTATGGGCTCTATTGAGCACATAACAACAGCACAAGGTGGTATTGAGCAAGATAATGGTGAGAACAGTCATCATGATTTAGAAAATGGGCAGAAACAGGTCCCTCAACACAATAAGGTGGAGAGAAATAGTAGAATTGAAATATCTGAAGAGAAGCTACAACAATGTTGGTCCGAAAACCCGATGTCACTACAAGAAACTGCAGAAAAAATATTTGGAGGTATCATGATCGCATTTTGTTTGTATTAGAATTGTTAATTATCTGAGACCTGCATTTACATACTCTTGCCAAAATCTGTTTATTCATTGAAGTTTTAATTTCTATTGATGCCACTGATATTTCAAAAGGAATAATAATGCTGTATTCAATGCAAAACTTCAATTGAGAACTTTTTCCTAGAGCAAAACTATTAAAACATTGAGTAATGTTGTGCCATGTGCGGAGTAACATAAATTTACATCATGGACACTACACAATTTTTTTTTTTTTTTGGTTGATAAAAATGGAAACTAAGCAAATTTAGATGTTCATGTGAAATTTTGATCCCTGCCTTTTAATAATTTCAAGCAAACTCTTATTTACAATGTGCGAACCTCTAATTATATATGTTTGCTTACTTAATTGTCTTCATTGATGTTAATTGTCTCTTTGAACTTTTATAAATAGTGTGGTCACATTTATACTCGTGAAAATATTTGTTTACCTATATTCCCTAATTAATGTTAATGGTCCATAACTAAATTTGTGGTTATGACTTTATAAGGATGGTTTTTGAAAATTAATTTATCATTAAGACTGAGATAGACATCCTGTCATCCCGATGATTTCCATAAAAAAATTAACTGCTTGAGCTTCTTTATCATACTTGACTTCAATTTGCAGTATCATACTTGGCTTTTCTAAATGATTAATCATACTTGACTTCAATTTGCAGTATCGAGGTCTACATTGAAACGAACAATAAAAGAATTGGGTGTCGAGAAGTGGCCAAGAAAAGGAAGAAAACAACAGCCTGATGCAAAGAAGAGGAAAACAAACAATACAGCACCATTTGAAAGTTATTGCTCACAACAGAATGTGGTGAACCTAGGTAGTTCAGCAGCTCACACGGAAAATGTGCAGTGTATAATGGGATCAGACCTGCATTTGGAAGAGCCCTTAATTGAAAGCCATATGGATATCCAGCAACAAGTCCAAGGGCATCTGGAAGGCGCTCTTCATACAACTGAAAGTTCAGGCACAATTGTTGTAAAAGCCACTTACAAGGAGCTTTCAGTGAGAATTGTTTTCTCTTTGACTTTACCGATTAATCAACTAATTGAAGAAATAGGCATGAAGTTCCAACTTGAGTTGAACAAATATAGATTGCTTTATCAAGATGAAGATAAAGAGTGGATGATGCTGACTAGTGTGGAAGATTTGAAGTATGCTTCGAATGTTGCTGAATCATTGGGAACCAAGTTTGTTAGATTGTCTGTTATTGACTATGTTGTTTAATAATGTGCTTCCATTTATTTGAGTGATTTAAGTGTAACACTCCAAAGTTGACCTAAGTATTGTAGAGATGTTTGTCTGTTATGAACAAAAAATTGTCGTGATGTAACTCAATAACTTTACTGCTCTACTGAATAATACCAGTACATGAATATTTTTATTTTTTGTGATGGAACAAGAACTTTGTGATAAATTTTTAGATGTTCATTATGTGAAATTTTGATCCCTGCCTTTTAAAAATTTCAAGCAAACTCTTATTAACAATGTGCGAACCTCTAATTATATATGTTTGCTTACTTAATTGTCTTCATTGATGTTAATTGTCTCTTTGAACTTTTATAAATAGTGTGGTCACATTTATACTCGTGAAAATATTTGTTTACCTATATTCCCTAATTAATGTTAATGGTCCATAACTAAATTTGTGGTTATGACTTTATAAGGATGGTTTTTGAAAATTAATTTATCATTAAGACTGAGATAGACATCCTGTCATCCCGATGATTACCATAAAAAAATTAACTGCTTGAGCTTCTTTATCATACTTGACCACAATATGCAGTCTCGAGGTCTACAATGAAGCGAAGATTGAAAGAATTGAAGCTGTTGTGGCCATCAAGCAAAAAAGGAAAGCAACATCTTGATGATGCAAAGAAGAGGAAACATAATAGTAAAGCACCATTTGGTAGTGATTCCACACAGCAGAATTTGGTGATTCCTACTAATTCAACAGCTCAAGCGAAAATTGTTGGGGGCCGTATAATAGGAGCAAACCAGCTTACGTTGCCAAATCATGTATCATCCAACTCTGATGTTGTTGGCAACTTGGCCCCGGACACAATAGTGGAAAACGTTAGAGGGAACTTAATGGATACTCAAGGCAATATGGATTGTCAGCATGGCGAAGAGCATTATCTGGATGGTGCAAATGACCAAGGGCATTTGGAGGGCGCTCTTCATTCAACTGAATGTAATCGCGCTGCGACACTAGAAGAAACTTTCGATCCAATGGTAATTGAAAGCCATATGGATACCCATCAACAAGCTCAAGGGCATTTGGAGGGTGCTCTTCATTCAACTGAAAGTAATCGCGCTGCAACACTAGAAGAAACTTTCGACCCAATGGTAATTGGAAGCCATATGGATATCCAGCAACAAGTCCAAGGGCATCTAGAAGGCGCTCTTCATACAACTGAAAGTTCAGGCACTATTGTTGTAAAAGCCACTTACAAGGAGCATTCAGTGAGAATTGTATTCTCTTTGACTTTACCGATTAATCAACTAATTGAAGAAACAGGCATGAAGTTCCAACTTGCTTTGAACAAATATAGATTGTTTTATCAAGATGAAGATAAAGCGTGGATGATGCTGACTAGTGTGGAAGATTTGAAGTATGCTTCGAATGTTGCTGAATCATTGGGAACCAAGTTTGTTAGATTGTCTGTTATTGACTATGTTGTTTAATACTGTAAAACTATTGCTTATAGTTGACATATTTTGACTCATGTAATTAAATGTTGTTACTCCGTGTTACTTTTTCCCTTCTTAAAAGTAGGAATAGTAATGTGAGGATTAATAAGAGAGAAGTAAAAGGAGGGAAGAAAATAAGATTTCCATTATTTTCTAAAGGAAAATATTTTCCACCGTATGTATTTAGAGAGTGATGAAATGGGAGATATCATAAAAGTATAAATCTTATGAATATAGAGAGATAAAATAAATATTACGAAGTACAAGCTTAGAGAATCAGAGTGTAGAGGAAAATGAGTCTTG